TAGTAAAATTTACTTATAAAATTTGCAGATCCTCTCCAGATGATAGATGAATTGTTTATTAAAGATAAGTCTTGTATGAATTCTGTATATAATAAGTATAATTAAAAATAAGTCTTGTATGAATTCTGTATATAATAAGTATAATTGAAAATAAGTCTTGTATAAATTCTGTATATAATAAATACTAGCTCCATACAAGTCACTATATGCCACACTTTGTATTATAATAATAATAATAATAATCTATACTATATTATAAAAAAATTCCTGTATAATATATAACTGCAAGTAATATTTAGAATACTCTATATAAATAATATTTAGTTGTATCACATTAAACTATCTACAACACGGAATTGTAGTAATTACCCTATAATGCACTTTCATATTTATTTTTACTAACGCACTTTATTTCATAACAAATAGCAATTAACAAATTAAAAAAAAAATTAAACTTTAGGGCTTTCACATTTTCTACATGCTATTTTCTCGATTTAATCAAAGGAATTTCGATTGCTAATATATATATTCATATTTAGGTTCTCCATTAAAATGGAGTCACACATCAAACACCTTTTATCTACCAGAAAATGCTTTGAACAATATAGGTATCTTCTTTTTATTATTATGAGCTGCTATTTCTTTTAGGCTTTTTAATTTACAGCAATATGCTTTTAGCAATTTAGTGCCTATTTATACTTGCATGAAGTTAAATATAAGCTGATCTATTCTCAAAGGCATCATTTCAAGTAAATATCGCTTCTATTTATTTTAAATTGTGTATCAATATTAAGTTCATTATTTGCTAATATACTAAAACTATTTATAATTTTACAAATAATGTACTTTTTTAATGCCATATGAGCAGATTTTCACCAATTGGGCCCTAAATAGAGCCATTAAATTTGGGTTCAACCCCTTATTTAATTTCTTTGATTGGTCTAATGAATTATTAGAATGACTGTTTTTATTTTTCGTGGGTCTATTCTGCGTTATTGTTATAAGTAAATCGTAGAAATAAACTTTTCACCTCAATCTTTCAGACAATTGTATTGTCAATAATCTGTTTCACTATAAAAATTTTTTAGAATACTAGGTTCTCGCTTTTGCATATTGCCGCAAACCCACCTATATGCATACTATTACTAATATGTAACTTACTGTCTGTACTATAATAATATAATTTAGTGGGTTTGTTTGTTACTGTATTTAGTTTAATTTTTTTTAATGTTTTTTTATTCCAGTTATTTAAATTATGTAGGTAGAGATCAGGTCAGTTCATGTATTAGAATCATTACTTCTATAGTACATTAGTGATATTTACTATTCTATTTGTCTACTTTTTTTTTTATATTCAGTATTAAAATACATTAAAGTTCGTAACATATTAATTTAGTGCATATCCACATTTCATACAAGAAAAATAACTATTTTAATTTCTTTCAATTTTGTTGTGATGTTATTGCGTGAACACTACTATTGTGCACTTTCTAAAACACCCACCTTTCTTACTGTTTTTAAGAACTGATATTTTATTATTTAAATCTGAGTTTTTTTCTAAACTGGTTGTAGATATTTTTGTGCTACAGATCCACCTCAGCATTATATACCTGAGTCTTTTTAGTCAATACATTATGATATTTAATTAAAAAATCTATCTCCCTGAATATTTATGAAATAGTACTTAGTCATTCACTTATTAGATTAAATGTGATTTTTTCATCTACAACTTTGTTATTATTAAAAGAAAAATCGCATCACATTTGATATCAAACTTAATATTTTATATATCCAATATATAAGTATTTGAAAATAAAAAAAAATTTAAAAAACTTCGATATTAATATAAACGTCTACTACTACTCCAAGTAAAAGCCTGCACGGGCCTAAAAATTTGTACTTTTGCCAGCCTGCAAATAAAATTTATTATATTTTTTACGTATTTACTATATTTATTATATACATATCAGGTCTGCAATTTCGAGTTTTTTTTTTAAAATTTCCTAATTTCTGTCTGGTCCACACAAGCCTCTAACTTCAAGTATGGCCAGCATTGCAACGCATTCGATATCTAAAAATTTTATAAATTAGGATTATATATCAACTTATTCTAAACTTTATGCCAAAAATCTCTGTATTTTTTTTAAAACAAACCTTCCTCATATCTCTAAATTTGATTCTACTATATAGATCTAATAGTTCATAGTATGATACCCTTCCAATACTAATACAAATTCTGTTCACAATGCATATCAGTTTTGGTAAATTTGACAGTAAATAATAAATGATAGATTTGCTAAACATCAAATAAATTGAAAAGCTTGCGTTTTACTGACAGTTCAAATTGTTTATTTATACTTTAAATATAAAATCTTAAAAAAATCTTTCTAAGTGATAGTTGAAAATAAAAGATAGCATTCAAATTTAAATACACGACTAATTTATCAAGCACAATAAATTAAATTTTACATAAGCAAGTGAATATCTATATTAATTGAAGCATACCGAATAACATATGAAAGTGGCTAAATCGAATATTGCACTTACCATATTTACGAACCAAAATATCATTTTATAAATATTAGGTTAAAATATAATATTAAAATTTAAAATCACCTTAATACGCATACCAGTAGAGGTCAAATCCTTTGAATATTCATCATGCCTATTCAGTAAATATTTGCAAATTTTGGATGTTCGTGACTAGCATTAGACGAATATTTAGATTTTGATAAATACCCATGCTATTATTTGTAACTGCGAATATTCACACGAATATTCATGAATATACACAGATCAATTATATTGATTATGAACCTATGAATTTGGTATAACCAAATATTGGATATTCAGTGAATATCTATTTCTAACTATGAATATTTATGGATCTGGCCTATATTTACCGGGCATGACCTAAAATATGAATTAGCATACAAAATAAAATAATCTTTCTTTAACAAATAAATTAAAAAAATTGTAATTTGGAAAGAATATCTATTTATAGTATTATTTTCTTATAAGATCAGAGCTGTAGTAGAAATAGTATTTAAGATGCTAGAAAATAATTAAAAAATTTTATTTTAATTTTTAATAAAAAAAAATTCAACTTTAATAAAGACATTCTGTACTTACTTTTCTCTGAGAATCCTAAATAAATTTAAGTGAATAAAGTAAATACTTAAATAATAACATTTAAAACACGTGAATAACAAAATCAGTATGCGTTGCGAATACTATTCTATATACCATTTACTCCAATTAACTCCTAAGTATCAGTGCACAATTTACTTGAAATAATAGAAATGGTTGAGCAGTGTCGAAAAAGACTTGCCAGAGAAAGGCAGAGAAATTTAAAAAGAAGAAGAAAAGTTACTAATGCAGAACCAAGAGTGGAAGTAGAAATCATGAATACAACCCTAAATAATGATAATATTAGGTCAGTAGAAGTGGAAGTCTCTATTACTACAAATATGACTAATATTCAAATTAATCAAAGACAAAATTGGATAACACGTTATAAGTTGGGAAGGATGGATCAAACATGTGCCTATTGTGAGGCTAAATTTTGGATGGAAGAAAAAGATCATAGTAGCAATTAGAGATCTTTAACATTTGCAACTTGCTGTGCCTACGGCAAAGTTTGCTTACTGCCCTTACTGGAGCTTCTATCATATTTGCTTAATCTATATACTTTATCTGAATCTACTGCTAATTTATTTCATAAAAATATTAGAAAATATAACAATATTTTAGCTTGCACATCATTCGGAGCCAACATTGATGAATTTCATAGGAGGGGTGTCTCTAACTTTCGAATTCATAGCCAAGTTTATCATCATATTGGATCTTTATTACCGGAAGAGAATTATGTGCCAAAATTCACTCAATTATATATCTACGATACTGCATATAAGAATCAAAATTGACGTAATATTATGCAAGATTTAGATGAAGGAATTCTGTAAAATTTACAAAATATGCTTGATCAACACAATCCCTACATTCAAAATTTTCGTCAAGTGAGAGATATCATTCAGACAGACCCAACTATCAAAGTTTCATTGCTAATTCATAGTGATAGAACAAAAGATTCTCGCTGATATAATATTCCTATAGCATCCGAAGTAGCAGCTATTATGGTTGGTGATGGTTACGAGGTGGATCCTTCTAATAGAGATATTCTTATTAGATTGGGTAATGGAAATTTACAAAGAATATCAGAGTTACATTCCTCATACAATCCTCTTCATTACATATTATTATTCCCAAGAGGCGATGACAGTTGGCATGCTGAAATGCCTCTCACTGGTCTTCTATAAGAAAAAGAGTAACTGTAATACAATTTTACTCTTATCGATTACAAATTAGAGATGAAGGTTGGCTACATCATACTGGTTATTTATATTAGCAATATGTTGTTGATCAATATGCTAAAATGGAGCAGAATCGCTTAAATTATATTAGATATAACCAACCATCATTTTGAACTAAACTATACAAAGATATCATGGATACTATACATGCAGGTGATAGAAGTAACAATATTGGTCATCATATAATCCTTTCATTATCATTTGCAGGTAGGCCATGCCAATGTATCAGTTATACTAGGATGCTATGGCCATTGTACGTTATTTTGGAAAGCCCGATCTCTTTGTAACTTTTATTTGCAATTCTAAATGGCCAGAAATTACAAGAGAGTTATTTTCTAACCAAACTGCTGCAGATAGACCTGATTTAACAACTCGAGTGTTTCATATCAAATTACAAAAACTATTAAAAGACCTATACCACAATCATCATCTTGGTAGAGTTATTGCATATATATATGTTGTTAAATTTCAGAAACATGGTTTACCTCACGCGTATATTCTATTTATACTTGTGCCCGATGATAAATTAAGGTTCACGGATAATTATGACCTATTGTCTCTGCCGAAATTCTGGACCCTGTACTACACCCTCTTGCATATGAGATAGTATCAACCATGATGATGCATGACTCATGTGGTATATCGAACCTAACTGCACTATGTAAAAAGATGGTATGTATCAAAAACAGTATCCAAAAAGTTTTCAAGAACATACTCAAGAAAATGAAAATAGATACCTCACCTACCGTAGGCGGCAAACAAATCATTTTGTTGAAGTCAATGAAATTAAATTAAATAATATATAGGTTGTACTGCATAATGTCAAGTTAGTTACAAAATATAATGCCCATATTAATGTTGAAATTTGTAGTTCTATCTCAGCAGTTAAATATTTGTACAAGTACGTTTATAAAGGTTATAATCAGGCAACCATCACTCTTTTTCAACCTGGTAGTAATGAAATCAAGAGTCAACAACTGAAGTTGAACTAATTGACGAAATCAAAATGTACCTTGACGCGAGATATGTTTCGGCTTCAGAAGCAGTCTGGAGAATTTTTTATTATAAAATGTATGGCCATTTTTCAAGTATACAAAGACTTGCAGTATATCTTCCAGAAGAGCAGTATGTTTCTTTTCAAAACAGAGAAAATCTTCAACATATAGTAGAACGTGCTAATACACATAAGATAACTTTAATGGCTTGGTTCCAAGAAAATACAAATAATGCCTCAGCGCATACATACACATACGTCAATTTTCCTGCACATTATACTTGCTATCTGTCTCAACATAAATGTAAACCTCGATAAAATGCAACAGCTGCTATTGGAAGGCTCTACATAGTATAACCTTCAGAAGAAGAAAGATGTTATTTAAGAACCTTATTTACCTATGTGAAAGGTGCTACTAGCTTTGATCATTTGAAAACTGTAAATGAATATTTGTGTGCAAGCTTCAAAGAAGCTTGTATTCGTCTTGGCCTTCTTCAAGATGAAACCGAATGGAATGCATATTTATTAGAGGCAAGTAGGGTACATATAGGACAACAATTACGGCATCTCTTCACAACAATTCTTCTTTTTTGTCAACCGCAGAATCCTAAAATATTGTGGAATAATCACAAAGTGGTATTGTGTGAAGATATTTTATATAGAGAACATCAATTAACACAAAATCAAGATAAAATAATAAGTAAAAGAATTGAATGGGAAGCGCTTCATCAATTAGAATGCTATCTTATATTAAATGATAAATTATTAAAAAACTTTCCTAATATGCTATTACTTCCAGAAAAGATGCTAAATTCTAACTATAATGAAGATTTGGACCAATTAATACAGAAAGAGAGGTCGTATAATGTCATACAGTTAACAAACAAACTAAACTGAAATGTTCCTCTATTGAACAAAGATCAATATGTAATATACAATACTGTAATACAGGCTATTGAAAATGAAGCCAAGTGTTTCTTTGTAGATAGTCCAGATAGTACTGGCAAGACATTTCTGTATAATATTCTGTTAGCATATGTCAGATCACTTGGAGAAATTGCTGTAGCAGTGGTTTCTTCTAGAATTGCTGCATTTTTAATAAGTAGTGGTTGTACTGCACATAGTTGATTTAAGATTCCACTTAAACCAAATAAATCTTTGACCTGTAATATTTTACGCAGAAGTAAAGAGCCCATTTAATTAATGAAGCGAAGCTTTTTATTTGGGACAAAGCTCCAATGGTCAATAAATTCATATTTGAAGCACTCGACCAGACTTTTCATGATATTGTTCAAGTAGATAGCCGTTTGGAGGAAAGGTCTTCATTTTTGAGAGAGATTTTTGTCAGGTACTTCCAGTTATACCACGTGCATCTCGCACCGAAGTTGTCACTGCAACCCTCTGTAAATCAATTTTGTAGAAACATATTAAAGTAATGAAATTATCGATTAATATAAGACTTTGACAAACTGATAATTATGATGAAAATTAGAGACAAAAACAATTTGCCGATTTTTTTTTAAAAATTGGAGAAGGTAAGTATCTAATCATTTCAGGCACTGAAAATACAATAGAACTCTCCTAAGACATAGCGATACCTAGAGGGAAATTGTCGGATCTTATTGATTTCATCTATCCCAATTTGGTCAAAAATTCTAGTAATATAAATTATATTGTTAGTAGAGCTATTTTAACACCAAAAAATGATAACGTTGAGAATATATCGAGTTTGATAATGGATCAGTTTCCTGGAGAACTTTATACATATCCTAGTACAAATGATGTAAGTTTAATGGAAGATGTAATACAAAACAGTCTCAAATATATTCACCAGAATTCTTAAGATCTTTAAAAAGTTCTGGCCTTCCATCTGTTGAATTAAAATTAAAAGTAAGAATACCTATCCTACTTCTATGTAACTTGGACCCAGCACAAGAACTTTGCAATAGAACTAGGCTAATTTGTTATGGGCTTCAAAGCAAAGTTATAGATACAGAGATAATCACAGAAATATATATTGGAAAACGTGTTTTCATTCCTTAAGTAACTTTGACGCCATCAGATACAGATTTACCATTCATTTTAAAATGGTGTCAGTTTCCAGTGCATGTTGTATTCTGTATGACTATTAACAAATCACAGGGTCAAACACTTGCACAGGTTGGTCTCTATCTACCGCAGTCAGTTTTTTTACATGGCCAATTGTATGTTGCTCTATCAAGAGTAACTTCTTATCGAAGTATCAAGGTTCTTACCTCTGAAAACTCAAATATGAGTCAAGACCATCAAACAAGAAATGTTGTATATTATAAAGTTTTGCTTAAATATATTCATAATTAAAAAGTAATATTTTTATGAATACTTTGCTTAAGTTTCCTGTTATTTTTAAATTTAACTATCCCTTATTTAATACAGTAACTGTAATAGGTGAAAGATCAGATAACAATAAAAAACTAAATTTCAATTTGTAGATGATCAATCAACTAACCATAACACAATTGTGATCAATTTCTTGTTTCAGCAAATCTAATATTTGTTTTAATATATGTATATTATGACGTAATTACGCATGCTAAGGCAAGAAAGTTTTTGGTGATTACTTACTACGTAGAATTAATACCAATTACTTATAGAAAATATTTTTGACTCACCCAAAAATAGATATGATCATTACTGTTAATGATTTTGATAAAAAAAATACCATCAATTAGTATTAGGATTAGTGATATGGTAAGGTTAAGGCTTTAAAATAAGTAACTATACTAATATTTTACAAGAAATTTTTTTTTGCTAGAACGCAGTAGATGGTTTCATAAGCGAAATTTCAAGATAAAAGTGATTTTTTAAAAAATCAGTCTAATTTTAACATTACACACTAATTATTCATATAAATTTGATATAATAGATGCTGATTAGATATAAAGTGGAATTTCCAAATCAGGCAGAATATATAGATATACCCGTACAGTAATAACATATCCAATTATTTGATCGATTGGACAAACTTGTGATAGTTATCAACACATGATCAATACTAGCAATTTATAATTATAATTCTGAAAATGTCATTTACTGTCTGAGTTTTAATTTGAATAAATATGATTACAAAATTGTAATAATAAGATATAAATTATAAGGTAAATATGAAACTCTCATAGATATGTGTATCTGCGAAATGATGTAAGACCACCCAATATTTGTTTAAAATTATGATTCGGCATTATATCTATAATTTACTTTAAAAAACTCAAATAACTGCAAATAATTAGCACTTACACATATAAAAAAATTTTTATTGATCAATCTAGCACTATCTATACGTATTGTATATATGTATGTATAGTCTAAATTCAATCAGGTATTTTACATGCTATAGAAATGATTTGCAATATACTAAAAGGTTACGTATTCTAAAACCGATTTAATTTAAACAAAAAGCATCTTTTATTATCTAAAAAAAAATAATAATTAGCTTTAAAAAAACTTTAAAATATTTTTGCAAAAGTTATTTTATGAATATGCAGTCTAAAAATTTATGGGATTCTCTAAGACTTTTGTATATCAAATAATAATATAGCCAATAATTGATACAGATTTCATACTATAGAATTAAAAAAGAATTTTTTAATTAAAAATCTTTTGGCCAAAAGAAAATAATTTGTTATATAAATTTAAAAAATATTTAACTAAAATTATCTAGAATATTATTATTAAGTTTGTCTATATTATACTTTAATATTGGTTTAATATCAGTTAAAATTATATGAATAATGCTAGCCAACTATTATAGTACCCAATATATTTTTAAAGATTAATAATAGTTTTGAGTATTGTAATAGCTAATTCAAACTAAATAATTATTTACTATTTTTCTCGTTGCATTGCAACGGGTTTACAGCTAGTATTGTATATTATAATAAATAATTTTATTATTTCATATTAAGCCAATACTCATTTAATTTGTTTATATGTATCCAATTTTTTGTATTGATTTAATTGCAATTTTAGTTGATTATTCTAAAATAAGCTAATATTTATTTAATTTTTTAATATAAATAGCACTAAATTTCGTTCATATAAAATTTATATAATCGAAGCCCAGATTTTTTTTGGTATTGCATATATTTATTTACTTATTTAATTTATTCTTTTTTATGTTAACATAAGTTGTCATAGTTTGTAAGTACAAGTTGTGATAATTATTTATTATCACGGCTATTGCCAAAAAATAGTTGATGCTAAAAATTGGGGTTTTGATTTTAAAATATAAGCCTTGCTAAACTCCATATATATACTTTAATTATAAATTCTAACCTTAAATCCTAATCTGACCCTAAAAACAAAGCAGTAAAAAATACTCCAAACAAATTTTAAATTTAATATCAAAACTTAGGTCTAATTTACTTATAGTCTATTCATTTCTTATTTAATTTTATTTTATTTATGTTTATTCAGACTGTGAGTTAATAGTCATTTATCAAAATATTATAATAACTTATAATCATATATTTAAGATAAACTAATCATTTTTTATTTAATTTGTATCAAATTAGTCTATAATAATATTTTTTCATACTCAAACAATTATACAACAGAAAATTTCTTTATTCAAAGCTAATATCACTCCGTAATAGCACATAGAAGTGATATCAACTTTGATAAAAAAAATTTAAAATCAGTATTGTATATAATTACTTAAAGAATATATTGTATATCAATAATAACTATCAGTATGAATAAATATCACATTGATTTGATTGATTAAAAGTAACCAGTTGAAGAGTAAGTAATCATGCAGCTATTTAGTTATATTAGATACTCAAGAAAATTGAACCAATCAAATCAAAGTTGGCTAAGTAGAATAGCACAAAATAAAATGATACAAATATAGGGAATAGAGATAAATTATATAGTTAATAGTTATTGAATTAACTTCAAGATTAGTATAATCTTATGTTAGATTTTAGGTAGTTATATATATGCAAAATTGTCTTCTTAACATTTTTGTTTAACCTATCCAAGATAGGTTAAGACTGTCATTTTTTGTATTTTTTAGATTTTTTATGTTTCTTGTATTACTTTACCAACAATAATTAAAATTTTTAAGTTGATTGGCTGATTTATCTCCACTTTAGACAATCCTATACTGGTACAAACCTGATCCTAATAACAATAAACTATTGCTATATATTAAAAAAATGCTTGTATAATGAATATTATAACATTCTTTTAAAGAACAGCCTACATATATTTGATAAATAACTTGCTTGTATGGTCTATAAATAAAATTTACTGTTTTTATTAAACTATTTTGCATAGCTGCACAGGTCTTTAACAAAAATTACTGGTATATATATTTTTTTAAAATGATATTTAGGTGATAAGATTTCTTAAAAAAATAAATCTACTTTACATATAATGATTTAATAAAAATTTTTTAAAAAAATCTCTATCCTTGCAATAGATATTTTTAATATTACTATATATCAGCATTTCTTTAGTTTTTTTAAAATCTTTTAGAAAAAAAGGTGATATTTGTTTTGAACTTCAAGATTGTGTTATGTTATATCAAATCGCTATTGGTTGTGTTAGTCATCATGTAAAGTATCAAATTACTCCAAGAGCACCATCAAAGATTTTTTGATAATAAAAATTTTAAAAGTTTGTTAATACTAAGGTTAGCATTTATATTAACATTATTGTTAGCAAGATATATAGTAAAAATACCCCCAAAAAACTTTTTGTTAGTGCACTAAAGATGGTTTCCTATGCAGTTTTTTGAGTTATGGGCAATTTTTAGCAAAAAGAACAATTGTTTTTAATTTTTCTGATTGTGTTATATTAGTATTATATTACACCTGATCTTCAACTATAATAAGCTTGTAGTCACATTTTAAAAAATTTTTGATGGTGCTCTTGAAGTAGTTTGGAGTATTAAAAATAAAATGTAATTTGTGATGATCATCAAAATGGAGAGCTCTGATTGGCTGGTGTTGATGGACGAACAATAGACTTTAATAAAATAGATAGTTGAAGATAAGTTTTGTATAAATTCTATATATAATAAGTATAATTGAAAATAAGGTTTATATGAATTTCATATATAATAAATATAATTAAATAAAAATTTTATATATAACAATAATTATTACTTTATATTTTTTTTTTATAAGGACTTTATTAGTTATCACTCCTGTGATGTGCTTATATATTACATTTTAGATGATTGACCAATCAAATTTAAAAATTAGGTATAACGTAGCATAATCAGGAAGATTCAAAACAAATGTTCATTTTGGCAAAAGTTACTTATAACTCAAAATTTCATATATGAAACTATTTTTCGCGCACTAACAAAAAAAATTTCTTGCAAAATTTTACTATTAATTTTTCCTATATTGTACTCTAATTCTACCTAACTCTAACCAAACAAAAAAAATCCTGGTTGCTTTAGTTGTTATAAAACAAATTATAATATATATACAATCAAACCCCTCTATAGTCACCTCCTCTATAATCACAAAATTGGTATAAT